GACTCGTTGCTGCCTCCCTGTCAGGTATTCCCTTATCCATTGCAGTGCCCTCCCTTTTACGTGCGCCTGATCCCCCAGCTTCTGCACTAATCTCTTGTGGGGAACTGTGTCAAAGGCCTTCCTGCAGTCTAGGAAAACGCAATCTACCCACCCCTCTCTCTCGTGTCTTACTTCTGTTACCTTGTCATAAAACTCCAGGAGGTTTGTGATACAGGATTTGCCTTCCATGAACCCATGCTGGTTTTCATTTATGATCTTGTTCCTTTCCAGGTGTTCGACCACTCTCCTCCTGATAATCTTCTCTATGACTTTGTGTGTGTGTGTGTGTGTGTGTGTGTTGTGTGTGTGTGTGTGTGTGTGTGTGTGTGGATGTGTGTGTGGGTGTGTGTGTGGTGTGTGTGTGTGTGTGTCTGTGTGGGTGTGTGTGTGTGTGTGTGTGTGTGTGTGTGTGTGTGTGTGTGTGTGTGTGGGTGTGTGTGGTGTGGGTCTGTGTGGGTCTGTGTGGGTCTGTGTGTGTGTGTGTGTGTGTGTGTGTGTGTGTGTGTGTGTGTGTGTGTGTGTGTGTGTGTGTGTGTGTGTGTGTGTGTGTGTGTGTGTGTGTGTGTGTGGGTCTGTGTGGGTCTGTGTGGGTGTGTGTGTGTGTGTGTGTGTGTGTGTGTGTGTGTGTGTGTGTGTGTATGTGTGTGTGTGTGTGTGTCTGTGTGTCTGTGTGTGTGTCTCTGTATGTCTGTGTGTATGTCTGTGTGTGTGCTCTGGTAAGATTTGGCACTAATCTCTTTCAATATTCACTCTGTTTTGGCACTCTTGGCACTGGCTCTCTGGTACTGACTCATTGACACTCTCAGCACCTCTCTCAGGCACTACGTCCACTCGTGAGTACTTGAGAGGTGAGGCCAGGAGCTGTGACTCGCCCCCTTACTCATACCAAGGCTAATACATACCATTATAAACACATTTTTCGTAAAATTAGATATTATATACTGTATTTATTTATACACTAAGTATATTACATTTTTTGGGGAGGGGTCTTAATACAGATATACAAAAATCTTAAGACAGTGTAAGATACCTTAATATCTTAAGATATCTTAGTATATTTAGACGTCTTAAGATACCCTGGTGTTGCTCCGGTGTGATATTTAAGATATCTTAGTATATTTAGACGTCTTAAGATACCCTGGTGTTACTCCGGTGTGATATTTAAGATATCTTAGTATATTTAGACGTCTAAAGATACCCTGGTGTTACTCCGGTGTGATATTTAAGATATCTTAGTATTATTAGACGTCTTAAGATACCCTGTGTTACTCCGGTGTGATATTTAAGATATCTTAGTATATTGAAAAATTGTGTTTTAATATCGAAATGTACAGGTCAGTTTTCTCCCGGTTTCTGTCCCCATGGGGTTGTTATTGAGCGTGATTTTGTGTTTGTTTTTAAAAGGGTTTGCTGGTTTGGGGGTGGTGGGGGGTGAGTAAGTGTGTGGTGGTGGTGGTAATGTGTGTGGTGGGGGTGGTAATGTGTGTGGTGGTGGTAAGTAATGGTGTGGTGGTGGTGATAATGTGTGTGGTGGTGGTGAGTAATGTGTGGTGGGGTGAGTAATGTGTGTGGTGGGGTAGTAATGTGTGTGGTGGTGGTGGGGGTTTGGTATGTGTGTGGTGGTGGTGGTAATGTGTGTGGGGTGGGGTAATGTGTGTGGTGGTGGGAGAAATGTGTGTGGGGTGGTGAGTAATGTGTGGGGTTTTGGTGGGGAAAATTGGGTTTGGGGTGGTGAGTAATGTGTGTGGTGGTGGTGGTAATGTGTGGGGGGGGTGGTGAGTAATGTGTGTGGTGGTGGTGAGTAATGAGTGTGGTGGTGGTGAGTAATGTGTGTGGGGGTGGTGGGAGTAATGTGTGTGGTGGTGGTGGAGTAATGTGTGTGGTGGTGGTGAGTAATGTGTGTGGTGGTGGTGAGTAATGTGTTTTGGTGGTGGTGAGTAATGTGTGTGGTGGTGGTGAGTAATGTGTGTGGTGGTGGTGAGTAAATGTGTGTGGTGGTGGTGAGTAATGTGTGTGGTGGTGGTGAGTAATGTGTGTGGTGGTGGTGAGTAATGTGTGTGGTGGTGGTGAGTAATGTGTGTGGTGGTGGTGAGAAATGTGTGTGGTGGTGGTGGAGTAATGAGTGTGGTGGTGGTGAGTATGTGTGTGGTGGTGGTGAGTAATGTGTGTGGTGGTGGTGAGTAATGTGTGTGGTGGTGGTGAGTAATGTGTGTGGTGGTGGTGAGTAATGTGTGTGGTGGTGGTGAGAAATGTGTGTGGTGGTGGTGAAGTAATGTGTGTGGTGGTGGTGAGTAATGTGTGTGGTGGTGGTGAGTAATGAGTGTGGTGGTGGTGAGTAATGTGTGTGGTGGTGGTGAGTAATGAGTGTGCTGGTGGTGAGTAATGAGTGTGGTGGTGGTGAGTAATGTGTGTGGTGGTGGTGAGTAATGTGTGTGGTGGTGGTGAGTAATGAGTGTGCTGGTGGTGAGTATGTCCTGTTTTTTCACCTTTAAGAACTCATAAAGTTTAAGTTCGTGAACCAAAACATCACCTTACAAATTTTCGTTGTAATAAGTCTCCCTGAACTTCGAACTGACGTTCGGCGACACTAACTAAATTTGGGACGACCTTAGGTAGGTTGGGCAGAATTGTTACACTGTAGACTTAACTAAATTATTAAATTCATTATAATAAATTTATTTCTATTGATTTTTGATTGAGTGGTACAAGACACTGAAGTCCCGAAGTACATTGACTCATGTGGGTTTAGCACTTGCCCTGCTGTATAATAGAAAGCGGTGTGTGTTTGATTTGGTAGACTAATTTGTTTTGTCGTAATGAGGAGTCATTGTGTGGTATAATGATCTTCAGTTTAAAACAGTGGGTGGGTTGTGCAATACTTCTATTGTTCTTAGTGATGCTTGGCTTAAGAATTTATTGTTTGATTACGAATGAGATCATGGTTGGTGATTATAATTCTCCTTTACTGATTGTTGTAAGGGTTGGATTGTGTGTGGTGGGTGTGTTTTCTCTGTGGTGTGTGTGTGTGTGTCTGTGTGGGTGTTGTGTCTGTGTGTGTGTGTGTGTGTGTGTGTGTTGGGGTGGTGTGTGTGTGTGGGGTGTGTTGTGTGTGTGTGTATGTTGTGTATGTCTGTGTGTGTGCTCTGGTAAGATTTGGCACTAATTTTCCCTTTTAATATTCACTCTGTTTTGGCACTCTTGGCACTGGCTCTCTGGTATGACTCATTGACACTTCAGCACCTCTCTCAGGCACTACGTCCACTGTGAGTCTTGAGAAGGGGAGGCCAGGAGTGTGATCGCCCCCTTACTCATACCAAGGCTAATACATACCTTTTTAAACACATTTTTCGTAAAATTAGATATTATATACTGTATTTATTTATACACTAAGTATATTACATTTTTTGGGGAGGGGTCTTAATACAGATATACAAAAATCTTAAGACAGTGTAAGATACCTTAATATCTTAAGATATCTTAGTGTATTTAGACGTCTTAAGATACCCTGGTGTTGCTCCGGTGTGATATTTAAGATATCTTAGTATATTTAGACGTCTTAAGATACCCTGGTGTTACTCCGGTGTGATATTTAAGATATCTTAGTATATTTAGACGTCTTAAGATACCCTGGTGTTACTCCGGTGTGATATTTAAGATATCTTAGTATATTTAGACGTCTTAAGATACCCTGGTGTTACTCCGGTGTGATATTTAAGATATCTTAGTATATTTAGACGTCTTAAGATACCCTGGTGTTACTCCGGTGTGATATTTAAGATATCTTAGTGTATTTAGACGTCTTAAAGATACCCTGGTGTTACTCCGGTGTGATATTTAAGATATCTTAGTATATTTAGACGTCTTAAGATACCCTGGTGTTACTCCGGTGTGATATTTAAGATATCTTAGTATATTTAGACGTCTTAAGATACCCTGGTGTTACTCCGGTGTGATATTTAAGATATCTTAGTATATTTAGACGTCTTAAGATACCCTGGTGTTACTCCGGTGTGATATTTAAGATATCTTAGTATATTTAGACGTCTTAAGATACCCTGGTGTTACTCCGGTGTGATATTTAAGATATCTTAGTATATTTAGATGTCTTAAGATACCCTGGTGTTGCTCCGGTGTGATATTTAAGATATCTTAGTATATTTAGACGTCTTAAGATACCCTGGTGTTACTCCGGTGTGATATTTAAGATATCTTAGTATATTTAGACGTCTTAAGATACCCTGGTGTTGCTCCGGTGTGATATTAACTTGTTCGAATTGAGATAAAAAATTCCTGGGTCAATCTGCAAATATGAGAATCGAAATTTGATTCTGTCGTTATGATATTTGAGGAGCTGCTTAATGTGAAACACAGGTGAGAGAGAGGTATGTGGTTGAGCCTCACTTAGAGGTCCTTTTCAGTAGACACTCATGCTAAACAGTAGTTATGTTGACGAATAGCAAGATCATTAAGGTCTTTGATGGTACAGTGGTTCAACCATGTTGTGGAACAAGCTTATTTCGCGGGTGTTTCACCCTGTATAGAGCTCGATAAAGCTGTACTCAGTTCTGCAAAGGGCGAAACGTTGTCACCAGGGACTGCCAGGTCAGCAGGAACTAAAAAGTCACGATAGACTAATAAGTCACGTGTGATAGCAGTGTCACCAGTGACTACCAGGTCACCAGTGATGGTAATGTCACCAGTGACTACCAGGTCACTAGTGACATGGTAGTCAAAGGTGACTACCAGGTCACCAGTGATGGTAATGTCACTATTGACTACCAGGTCACCAGTGATGGTAATGTCACCAGTGACTACCAGGTCACCAGGGAAATAGGTACCCCTTTTTTGCCTTAAATCTGACTACACTGCCTCTCTCTCTCTCTCTCTCTCTCTCTCTCTCTCTCTCTCTCTCTCTCTCTCTCTCTCTCTCTCTCTCTCTCTCTCCACTGAGTTCGATGTTC